TTGGATTTCTCTCGGCAGATATGGAGGAGGCATTTCATGCCAGAGAAAGGAATGAATAAATGCATTAAGTTTGGAAGCATGGAATATTTTTCAGTGGTAATAAATGGTGCAGTTTGGCTGTAGGCAGCTAAGATGTCTAGGCTGGATGGGGAAGACATGGCTATATTGTAGAGGCCTGGGATGTGAAGGTCAATTTGCTGTATTTTATTTGATGGATATGAAGAGAGAGTATTGAATAGTTTTGAGTGTACATATGCCATGATCAGAGCTGCATTTCAGGATTAGTTTTACAATAGTGAATAACCTGGATTTATGTAAGGAGAACCATCATATAGGAAAATAAGTTTGGTAGATATTATAATTATCAAGTTTAGGAGTGATGATGATCTGAAATATATCTGTGAGAGTGGAATGGACATGAGATGGATGTCAGGAGAAATGATAAGTTGGGTGAAGAAGAAATCAGAGAAAGCTCAGAAGTTTCTAATATATGTGATTAGTATGATGGTAAAGATGAGAAACTCTATCAACTTCTAAGCTTTAGTATCCAAGCCACCTACCACTTGTATATTACTTTAAGTAAAGAACTAAGGTTTTAGAGCCTGATACAGTTTCTCTTTATCTTTACCTGTATAATCGAAGGCCAAATAATTTGGAGTCAGCTAGATTTGGTTTTAAGTCTAGACTCTGCTGTTTTATAGCTGTGAGACTTAGATAAGATACTTTTTAAAAATCTCAATTTTGTTACCTGTAATACGAATATAATAGGGTTAACTTCTTATGGTACTCATGAGAATTAGGCAAGGTGAGAGAGAGTGCCTGGACTATAACAAGGATTCAGTAAACACTTTGTTGTAGGCATTGATGTACTGCTAAGTCTCTACAAATCCGTAAGTCTCTCCTTAACTAAAGATGCAGTGTGTGAAAAGCCTTTTTCTAAGCAAAAAGTGGAAACTATTCTCAATTTCTTATCTAGGGTATGTGGGGTACATTTCTAGTCTATTTTTTTTACAATCTCATGACATTCCTCAAACTTCTGTCACTTTTGCCTTGTCTGTATAACTTGGTTTCTACCTTCGTTTCTTGGTAGGATCTAAACCCTATTCTGAATCAGGGTAAGCAGTTGGTTTCTATATCCTGTTTACTTACTGTCATTCACATTCACAGACACTCCATTTCATCCCTTTGAGGCTGCCTCTCATACATCTTCAAATTAGATCGATTATATAAAATCTTTCCATCTTTCCATCTCCTGACATCCATCTCATGTCCATTCCACTCTCACAGATATATTTCAGATCATCATCACTCCTAAACTTGATAATTATAATATCTACCAAACTTATTTTCCTATATGATGGTTCTCCTTACATAAATCCAGGTTATTCACTATTGTAAAACTAATCCTGAAATGCAGCTCTGATCATGGCATATGTACACTCAAAACTATTCAATACTCTCTCTTCATATCCATCAAATAAAATACAGCAAATTGACCTTCACATCTCAGGCCTCTACAATATAGCCATGTCTTCCCCATCCAGCCTAGACATCTTAGCTGCCTACAGCCAAACTGCACCATTTATTACCACTGAAAAATATTCCATGCTTCCAAACTTAATGCTAACTACTTGACTTCGGTCATTTATTATGGCTTACAAACACTTGATATCATTGTCTAACTGTGAGATTTCCGCATTTTCCTCTCCTAGTCTATTATCACTTTTGTTATTGATATTGATGTAGATAGGGTCAGTGTTTCACTAATACGCCATATCTGTCATCTGGATGTTGACCAGCCATTTCTCCACTTCATTGATGGTTACTGGCTAAATCTCATATTATTTACTTGAAAATTCTCAAGTGATCTTGTCACTGAAATTTCATATAATTAAAATTTATGGTCAATTATTTTTTTGACAAGAGTACCAAAACAATTAAATGAAGAAAGAAGAATTCTTTTCAACAAGTAGTCCTGAGACAACTGGATATCCACATGCAGAGAATGGGGTTGGATAGCCCCACCTCACACCATATACAAAACTTAATTTAAAATGGATCAGATACCTAAATGTAGGTGCTAAAACTATAGAACTCTTAGAAAAAACATATGAAGAATCATAACCTTGGGATCTGCAATGTTTTTTGAAATATGACACCAAAAGCACAAACAACAAAAGAATAGGTAAATTAGATTACATCACCATTTAAATTATTATTATTTTTTTAGATTTATTTATTTGACAGAGAGAGACACAGCGAGAGAGGGAACACAGGCAGGGGGAGTGGGAGAGGGAGAAGCAGGCTTCCTGCCGAGCAGGGAGCCCAGTGGATCCCAGGACCCTGGGACCATGACCTGAGCCGAAGATAGACGCTTAACGACTGAGCCATCCAGGCGCCTCAATATTTAAATTTTTTTTAAAGATTATATTTATTTATTTGACAGAGAGAGAGCATAAGCAGGGGAGTGGCAGAGGGAGAGGGAGAAGCAGGCTCAGGAGAGAGAAGCAGACTTCTGGTTGAGCAGGGAGGCTGACGTGGGGCTCGATCCTAGGACCCTGAGATCATGACCTGAGCAGAAGGCAGATGCTTAACTGACTGAGCCATCCAGGTGCCCCAACATTTAAAACTTTTGTGCTAGAAATTATACCATCAATATACTAAAAAAAGTGATCCATGTTGTGGGAGAAAATGTTTTCAAATTATATATTCAGTATGGGACTTGTATCTAGAATATATAAATAATTCCTATAACTCAGTACTAAAAAAAGACAACCCAAATAAAAATGGGCAAAGAATCTGAATAGATATTTCACCAAAAAGGATATACAAGTGGCAAATGAGCATATGAAAAGATGCTTGACATCATTACACATTAGGAAAATGCAATTCAAAATCAAGTAACATACCACTTTATACCCACTAGAATGACTAATTAAAAAGTCAGATAAACAGAATGTGTTGGTGTGGTTATAGAGAAATTGGAACCCTCATAGGTTGATGAGGGGAATGCAAATGTGTACAGCTGTTTTGAAAAACAGTTTGTCATTTCCTTCAGTTATTCAATATAATCTTTCCATATGACCTGGACATTCTGTTAGCTGTATATCTAAGAGAAATGAAAACATGTCCATCTGCACAAAGACTAGTACAGGAATGTTCATAGCAGTATTATTCATATAGCCTAAAAGTAGAAACAACCCAGTTGTTCATCAGCTGATGAATGGGTAAATAAAATCTTGTGTATACATTGGAATATTATTTGGCATTAAAAATGAATGAAGTATTGATCTATTCTACTACATGGATGAACCCTGAAAATGTTATAGTAAGTCAAAGAAGCCAGTTACAAAAGACCACATACTGTGTGATTTCATTTATATGAAAAGTCCAGTATTGGTAAATCCGACAGAAAGCAGATTATTGGTGTAGTAGGGCTGGGAGAGGGGGAGAATGGGATGAAAATGAGTATGAGCTCTTTTGGGAAGGATGAAATCTTCTAAAATGACTGTTGTGATTGTTGTACAACTCTGTGAATTTACTAAAACCCACTGAATCTTATACTTCAAGTGGGTGAATTTTATGTGAATTATATCTTGGTGATCTTTTTTAAAAAAATCAAGAATTCTTGGTTTCAAGTTTGGAGGAAAGGGGCAGTCTATAATTTTCAAAACGTGGAGCGTATAGAGGAGGAAAGCTTAGACGAATTAAAAATAATTGAATGAATTATTTCATTCATTTCAATATGTAAGTGAGGGAATGTTAGCTCTTATCCCATGGGTGGGGAGAGCCTTTCTATTCAGGGAAGACACCCTTGAGAATCTTTTTTTGAGTATCTCAATGAGTAGAGTGGGAGTTGGGTTTTTATTTCATGATTAGTAAAATAAGCTAGCCAGTTAATCTCTTCATACTTTAGACTCATGCTTATAAAATAGTGCCACCTCCAATCTTTTTTTTTCCACCTCCAACCTTTTTTTTTTTTTTAAAGATTTTATTTATTAGGGAGAGGGAGAGATAAAGGAGAGAGCACAAGCAGGGGGGAGTGGCAGAGGGAGAGGGAGAAGCAGATTCCCTGCTGAGCAGGGAACCCGATGTGGGGCTCAATCCTAGGACCCTGGGATCATGACCTGAGCCAAAGGCAGACACTTAACCGACTGAGCCACCCAGGAGCCCCTTCACCTCCAATCTTAATTAAAATTTGAAATGGGGTTTGCATTATGAAAGGAAAAGGAGAGATATGTACTTTAAAAGCATTTTATAGGTATGTAAAGTACTTATATTTTCCAGGGCTATTGTCAGCAAGAATGAGTAAACCATTCTCTGGGAGCATTTAGCCATAAGAAGTGAATCAACCATATAAGAACATTGAGACATTATCTTGTAAGAAATTACTTGTAGAATGGGGTATTGCTTAAATGAAAAAATTATTTTATCAATTTTGTGTGATTGGCATACTGTCAGAAAGTATATTATGAACCTCCGATCACCATAACCTGCATTAATATTGCTGGTGTTCTTTTTTTAACTCTGTATCATTTTTCACCATTATATCAATTACTGAATCTTATATCTGTAGTCCATGATTATATAGCCATCTGCCCGATGCTCTACTATGCTCTACAGTACCATTTGACTATCCAACAGTAGCAGTCTGAGGAAAAGTTATAAATCTTACAAGCTTCAGGTAGTCAAAGCACACTCTTAGACTTAAGCTGTTCATTAACATAGTTATTTAAAAAAAAACCCCAAACATGCATTTTATACTCTTAAATGTTTCATATTGGTGGTACTTTTTAAATAATTTATCATGATCATTGTCAACTGTTGGATATTGGCAGTTGTTTTTTGATGTCACCTCACTTGTTCTCCAACATGTATACTATGTTTAAATAAATTAATGTCAGTTTAATACATAGCTGATATCCTCAAGATTTAGTCTCAGCTGGTAATTTTACATAGATGTCCCTTCTAAAGGATTCTTTGTGTCCTAAACAAGCTTCTGAAATAATGGCATGTTTTTTTTTCTTCCAGCATTGATGTTGCTTCAGATTGTCTTAACATATCCTATAGTCTTGTGTTGTAATATTCCATGATTATTTCTCAAAGGGAATGTTTATATGAGTCATTGTCTTTCAACATATTTTTCCAAAACTTTTGATCATTTTACTCTGTATCAAATTTATAAAAGCACTTTTATCAAAAGAAATGTACTTTTTCTTTTCTTTTATATGTATACATACATATGTATATATTTAAAGATTTATTTATTTATTTTAGAGAGAGTGTGCAGGGGATGGGGGAGAGGGAGAAAGAATCTCAAGCAGACTCCATGCTGAGCATGGAGCCCATCGCGGGGCTTGATCTCTCCACCCTGAGATCAGGACCTGAGATGAAACCAGGAGTCAGGCACTTGACTGACTGTACCACCCAGGCACCCCTAAGAACTCTTTTTCAAATGTATGTTTCTCCTGTGTCAAGAAAGACCCTTTAATTGTCTTGGTTCTGTTGTTACTTGGTGTATTTAAAATATAGATATAGTGATGTATACTTTTTTAAATTTACTAGTTCAAAATACCTGGACACCATTTAGTAAATGAACAATTAGATGCTTTGAATTTTATCATAGAATCTAAGAGCATCCAAGGTAATTTTTGTAAATTAACATATAATTTAAGTCCTATAACCTGTTGTGATAAGTTCTAATTTTCTAGGACTGATTTTCAAGAAAATGAAGACTGCTGGAATATTCAACCCTGATGAAAATAATTTTGGAGTAGCATAAGGCATGAGGGACACCTACCAGAGGTATTTTTGTGTGCTGAAAGCAGCATTCGTGTGCATTCACAAATCCAAAAGCAGTCTGTCCTCAGAGAATGGATGAAATTTGTATAAGAAGTCTGGAAGGTTCATGGTTTTCAGCTGTGCATACATTTCCAGACTCAACTGAATTTACATTACTCTCTTGATTTAAATAAATGTTCTTGTGTTATTTCTAGGCCACTTTCAACAGTGCCAATTGTGGCAAAATAAGACAAGGTAGAATCAGTCTTTGGGCTTGCAGAGGGATTCAGTCCAACCACTTCCTTTTCCAGGTGAAGAATTGAAGAATGCATCATTTAAGTACTAAGTACAAGGCAAATTTGATGGTTAATGGCTGAGCCAGGACTAAAATCAGTCCATTTGTTCTCCTTTCCACTTTGCTGTAATAATCGAGTTTCAAAAGCATAGTTAGACACCTTAGGGATTTTTTTCTTAATATAATGTTTTAAAGGTAATAGAAAATATTCTGAAAAATATGGCTCATTATTTGGAAACAAAAGACTGAAAAACATAACTATAACACAACTTCTTATATGTGTGAGGATAGATGTTATGGGCTAAATTGTGCCCCCCGCCCCCCCCAAAAAATCATGTTGAAGTTCTAACCCCCAGTACCACAGAACATGTCCTTATTTGGTGTAGCATCTTCACAGAGGTGATTAGATTAAAATGGGGTCATTAGGGTGGGCCCTAATCCAATATCACTGGCATGCTTATAAATTTGGACATAGATATGGACAGAAGAAAGACCATGTGAAGACACAGAGAAGATAGTCATCTGTAAGCCAAGGAAAGAGGCTTTAGATAACTGTAAAGTTAAAATTCTTGTAATTGTTTTCAACAAAGGTCTTTGGGAAAAAGGCTTTTCCCACTGGGTGAGATCTGATTTAGGTCAAATACAGAGAATCTTTTTTTTTTTTTTTTTTTTTTTAAAGATTTTATTTATTTATTTGAGAGAGAGAATGAGAGAGAGAGAGCATGAGAGGGAGGAAGGTCAGAGGGAGAAGCAGACTCCCTGCTGAGCAGGGAGCCCGATGCGGGACTCGATCCCGGGACTCCAGGATCATGACCTGAGCCGAAGGCAGTCGCTTAACCAACTGAGCCACCCAGGCGCCCCAAATACAGAGAATCTTGAAGTGGGTCTTCTAGGAACCACAAAGTAGGTCATATCATGACATTTCCCTGGGAATGAGAGTTTGAAGATGCTCCAGACCCTTGCTGCTTTTTTTTTAGAGGTGGCCTGTCCTCTGGTATTCACCACAAATGTGGGCTTTTAGTTTTCAACTAGTGGGGGAAAGGAGTAGGGCAAATTCAAATTCCACAGGGATCACTGTTTTTACTGAAATCAGTTATTTTTCTCGAATAAACACTCCCCAGAATGCTACAAGCCTTTGGTTAAGCCTTTGGTTTCCTGAGTTTTGAAAAAGTTGATTCTAACAATTTTGCCAGCTCTCTTGTTGGTTTTATGTAAGAGAGAGTTTTTGGAGGTTCTCACTCCGATTTTCACTGATACCACTCCATTTCATGAATTTTGTGTAACATGTATTTATGATCTTTTAATGTAGCATGTTTCCTAATTTCCCTGATATTCCTCCATTGACCCATGGGGAAGTTAGAAGTATGCATATTTGGGGATTCTAGATATCTTTTTGGTACTGATTTTTAATTCGCTCTCATTATGTTCAGGTAATATGTTTAACTTCAGTCTGTATGTTTCATAAAATATTGTTTTAAGTGTGCTGATAGAATGGAAGGGAAATAATTGACTTCATGTGGGGGGAGACAGGTAAGGTTTTTTGCAGCCTTTGCCTAAGCCATGAAGGAGGGGCAGCTTCTATGCCAGATAGAAAACATGTCAGAGAGTGTTTTATGGAGTGTGGGTACGGTATATGCTAAAAGCTGAGAGAATAAAAAACAGGCTGACGTGGAGAATCTTGACAAGGTCTCTAAGCGGGAGGTTTAAAAGAGCTTGTAGGAGATGTTATGGGTTGGTGTACATGAGAATGGAAAGGACATCAAGTTTTAATTACCAAAAACCTTATGTTTTAAGGTAAAAATCTAAATTTACTTGAATGCTGTAGGAAGCCACTAATAGGCTTCAAGCAAGAGTGAGAAATGATTAGATTTACTTTTAGAAAACTAATTCTGATGTCATATGAAGGAAAAACTAGAATTGAACAATTAAAGGTAGGGAGAGCTGTGAGTTTTGGTGCAAGCTGATGAGAAAGTAATGACAGGAATAAGGACGTTGTAAATTTGAAATGTTTATGAGATATATGTGGGTATCCTTATTCAGTAGATGTTTTAGGTAAGGGAGAGGAAAGTTTAGTAAACCATTTGGATTGGGGACTAGATAAATTATCTTGCTCCTAATCACAGTAGTTAATATAGGGACAGAAGCAGGTTTTGCAGGGAAAACACTTTATTTAGATTTGAGATGGAGAATTTACTTTGTACGAACTCATGTTGAGTACGATGGCAGCTTGCCCAAATCAGCAGTATGTTATTAGACCCCAAAGACTACTGTTAAACCATCTAAAACAGCTAAAAGTGAATCTAATGGTGTTATTAATTTGATGAAAAGATTATTAGCCAAAATATCTTACTGGACAGATGTCATTTATCTATATATATATATAAAGGATATATATATATATATATACACGTATAGGATATATATATATATATAAAGGATATATATATACACACATATATATAGATAAAGGAGATATATATATATATATCCTATATATCTCCTTTATCTATATATATCATATATATATATATCAGCAACACTGAGAGAAAGTCTTATTAATTTATTGAACTTGTAAAACCCTGACATCTACTTTTAAATTCAGAGCTATTTTGGAATAGCTGAAAGATTGATCAGTATATATGGAGTTTCTTAAGGAAAGCTAGATTAAAAAAAATAGCCTTAGTGTATTCATAAGAGAGGCGATTCTTGAGCAAGAATTTTTCCTCATTTGGGAATGGTCAGGGTGACCATTTGTTAGATAGTTTTACACATCAGTTAAGTTCAACAAACGTTTGCTGAGCGTCAACTATACACAAGACAGTGTAAGTTACTACATAGCTTTGTCCTTGAACACTTATATTCTCAAAACCTTTTTGTATCTTCTAATTTCTTCCTTGAGTGTTCTGGCAGACTATATTTGGTTTCTGAGATGCCAGTAGGGCATGAGCTATTTGTGTCAGATATTGATTCACTTGCAAGGGCTGCCAAAACACAGATATCACCCAGGTTATATTTGGCACTTTGACAGGAAGGGCAGTATAAATGGACTCACGGAAGGTTTATTGAGTGATTACACAGGGGATATTGAATATTTCAGAAAATCTGGGATTAGGGATCACGGCTGTCTGTCTTTTTCTGCTGCAGTTAAGATTTTTAATACTTAATAAGAGACAACTTGGTGTGATAGCAAAAACAAATAGCTGGGACTCAAGAGATCCTGTCTCCAATTTAGTGCTTGTGAGCTGTGATTCAATTTCAATGGAACTGTTTCCCCATCCGTTAAATGAAATGATGGAATTAGATGATAAGTGGTTCTTCTGCATGTATACACAAAACTTTGCATACAATTTCAAGAAATTCGTAGAATCACTGAGGTGTAACCACGACCTACAGATTTATGGGCACAGTTACTCTGTGACCTCTTCGAGCCTTTCTAGCTCTGACATTTTCTGATTGTATGATGTTTGTGTTCTGGAACAACAGTGATGCTTTCTTTTGGTGCAGCAGCTGTTGGCAGGAAGAGGTGGCACCTCTGGCTCTTTTAAGGTGGCTAATGAATAGTAAGCAGGCAAGCTGTGTTGATTTGTTCCATAACCTCATTAGATATCCCTCAGTATTTCTCCGCTCAGTCTCTGCATATACTGTCTCTACTACCTGAAATTTTCTCATTTGATATACTATAAAAATATTGGACACTCTTGAAGCACTAAATATGCCAAGGAGAAAATGTAATTTCCATTGGCAATTTGGCTTTGTCGGTGTTGACATTAGATGTTAATAATATTTGCCTCATTTCTTGGCTATTTGCATGATCATCAAACTGTAAAGATTTATTTTTCCTTTGCCTAGATTGTGGGACAGAGAATTCTCTCTTAATGTTAAAGGTATGTATTCATTGATGCCAGCTGATTATTTATATATGTTATATATACACACATATAAATATAAATATATATATATAAATAAACATATACCCCAACACATGTACGTATTCATTGATGCCAGCCTATATTGTGTGTGTGCATATGTGTTTGTGTGTGTGTATATATATACACACATATATATACATATATGTATATAATATATATACCAACACATGTACATCTTAAAATTGGGTAAATGAAAGGATTATTTGGCCATCTATATATTTAGATGGGATCTGTTCAATATTCAAGGTTGGAATTATTAATCTTTTAAATGTCCTCGGTTAAAACAGTGTTAAATTCTAGTTTTCATCTCAGCTTATTCCTATCGTTGACCTTAATGAGATCAGCTACAGTTCTGTTATTTTGATGGATACTGCTGCAATAATAGAATAATTGAATTACATGGAATCCAGATTGTGTTAGAATACTTCCATTACTATTCTTCTTTACCTTCATAAAGTTCCAATTCTTGTGGAACTCCTCAAGGGCTATAATACTGTAAAAAGTTAAGCATGAGTCTATTGGTAGTAAGATTTAAACTGAATATGTTCTTTAATGAATTAGTTATCCTAAGTAATCAAAATAATAAGGCCAGTATACAGATGCATTCTCTGTCCTAGCCCCATTATTTACCTATTCTGTTACTTGCTCATGAATAAACAAGTGAATTATTTATTAAAGCTATTTATAAAAACCTATACTTCCAGATTCTTTTCTAGAGTCTTTTCTTAACATTTTATAATTTTGCCAACATTTAATATTTTGAAAGTATAGCTGATATGCACACAGGTAATACCTTTCAGAATCATTCCTTCTCTTTACTTTTAAAGGGGTATATCATTACCATATATTCACCTTATATTTATATTGAAGTCTGTCCAGTCTTGGAACGTGTGTCAGTAGGTCCTAAAAGGAAGAGATTTTTCTTTGTAACTGAATTATCATTTTATTTTATTTTTATCATGTTTATTTTTTTTAAGGTTTTATTTATTTGGCAGAGAGCACAAGCCGGGGGAAGGGCAGAGGGAGAGGGAGAAGCAGGCTTCCCACTGAGCAGAGAGCCCGATGTGGGGCTCCATCCCAGGAGCTGGGATCATGACCTGAGCTGAAGGCAGATGCTTAATGGACTGAGCCACCCAGGTGCCCCTATCTTGTTATTTTAATGTTACTATTTACATGTAGTTTAGAAGTTTCTTCCTTCGGAAAGCTTTTCTTCCCCTAGCCTGCATTATTTCTTGCCTGCAACTCCTTAGGTATGCCACCTCCTTGGTCACAGTATGCCTTGAACACACCTCTGCATATCTTTATTATTGTACCTGCCACATCTTTTGAACATCAGCTTCAAAAATACCTGTCTTCCCCACGAGACCATGACTTCCTTGATGGTGGGGACTCATTTTTATTTATCTTGTTTTCTTAGTACCTGGCACAGACTGTAACACTCAATAAGTATTTTTCAAATGAATAAATAATAGTTCCATCCCTTGCTGATTGCTTGTGATGATTATGAAAACTAGAGGACTTTGGCTAAAATAAGTGACAATGTATTGCTTTCTAATATTTTTCAGTGCAGGAGTCTTTTATGTCAAAAACTGAAAGATGAACCTGGCAAATAGTATCTTTGGAATGAAAATGAACATTTTTTTAAAAAGATTTATTTATTTATTTGAGATAGAGTACTCAAGCAAGGGGAAGGGCAGAGAGAGAATCCTCAAAGAGACTCCCTACTTAGCACAGAGCCTCACTTGGGGCTCAGTCCCAGGACCCCAAGATGATGACCTGAGCCAAATCAAGAGTCAGCCATCCAACAGACTGAGCCACCTAGGCGCCTGAAAATGAACATTTTGAATATATGTGTGTTTAGTGGTTCAAGTGAAAATCACTGAATCCTAACATTTTAGAGGCTTGCTTTCTTTTTTATCTTTTAGAGCTTTATTGAGGCATAATTGACATATAATAAGGTATATATCAAGTATGCAGTTTGTAAAGTTTTAACGTGACTATACCCGTGAAATCATCACTACACTATAGCGAACATATCCATTAGGCCCCAAAGTTTTCTCCTGCCTGTTTATAATTACTCCCTCCCGCCTCTGCCCCTGCCTTCATTTCCTGGGAAAGCACTGATCTCCTTTCTGTTATTATATATTGGTTTTCATTTTCTATAATTTTATGTAAATAGGTCATAAAGTGTGTGCTGTTTTATGCTTCTTTAAGCATAGTTTAGGGATTCATTTGTATTGTGTGTATTAATAATTTATTTTCTTCTTTGTCGGACAACATTCCAATATATGAATGTGCTACAATTTATTTCCCTGTTGAAAAACATTTGAGATCTTCTTTTTTTTTTTTTTGAATGAGAGAGAGAGAGAGAGCACATGAGAGGGGGGAGGGTCAGAGGGAGAAGCAGACTCCCCGCCGAGCAGGGAGCCTGATGCGGGACTTGATCCAGGGACTCCAGGATCGTGACCTGAGCCGAACGAAGGCAGTTGCTTAACCAACCGAGCCACCCAGGCGCCCACATTTGAGATCTTCTAGTTTTTGGCTCTTATAAATAAAGTTGCTAAGAACATTCATATACAGGATTATATCTGGACTTAATGCCTTCATTTCTCTTGGGGAAATATCTAGGAGTGGAATGGCTGGACTATATGGTAGGTATATGTATAACTTTTTAAGAAACTGCCAAACTGTTTTCCAGAGGTGGTTGTATCATTTATATTCCAGTCAGCAGTGCATGAGATTTTCCGTTCTTCCACTTTCTGTGGACAAGCTTTTTAATTTTAGCCATTCTGATAGAAGTATAATGGTATATCTTTGTGGTTTTAATGTGCATTTTTCTTATGACCAATGATGTTAAGTATCTTTTCTTTTTTTTTTTAAGATTTTATTTATTTGAGAGAGAGAGGGAGAGCATGAGAGAGAGAGATCACGAGCAGGGGGGAGGGGTAGAGCAGAGTACCCAATGGGCTCGATCCCAGGACCCTGAGATCATGACCTGAGCCAAAGGCAGATGCTGAACCAACTGAGCCACCCAGCGCCCCTATCTTAAGTATCTTTTCATTTGCTTATTGCTGTCTATATATATTTATTGATGATGTACTTGTCTTAATCTTTTGCCGAATTTTCAAATTTTTTTTTGTTGAGTTGTGAGTTCTTTACACGTTCTAGATACAAATTCTTTATCATATAGGTGACTTGCAAATATATTTTCCTAGTCTGTGGCTAGTCTTTTCATTCTTTTTAACAGTGTCTTTTGAATAGAAGTTTAAAATTTTGATGAAATCCAATTTGTCGTTTTCTTCTTTTATGGATTATGCTTTTTCGTTATCATACTAAGAAATCTTTGTTTACACCAAGCTCACAGAGGTTTTCTTTTATGCATTATTCTAAAAGTTTTAATTTTTTTTTTTTTAAAGATTTTATTTATTTATTTGTGAGAGAGAGAATGAGAGACAGAGAGCACGAGAGGGAGGAGGGTCAGAGGGAGAAGTAGACTCCCCGCCGAGCGGGGATCCCGATGCGGGACTCGATCCCAGGACTCCAGGGTCATGACCTGAGCCGAAGGCAGTCGCTCAACCGACTGAGCCACCCAGGTGCCCTAATTTTTTTTTTTTTTTAAAGATTTTATTTATTTGACAGAGAGAGACACAGTGAGACAGGGAACACAAGCAGGGGGAGGGGGAGAGGGAGAAGCAGGCCTCCAGCCGAGGAGGGAGACCGATGTGGGGCTCGATCCCAGGACCCTGGGATCATGACCTGAGCCGAAGGCAGACGCTTAACAACTGAGCCACCCAGGTGCCCCTAAAAGTTTTAATTTTTTAGAATTTAGGTCTGTGATCTGTTATGAGTAATTTTTATATATGGATTAAAGCATGGATCAGCTGTCTTGTCTTTTTCTTTTGTTTGTATATTGATTTTTCAGTTCCAGTATCATTTTTTTTTTTTAATTTCAGGGTTTTATTTAAATTTAAGTTAGTTAACATATATGGTAAATTGGTTTCACATGCAGAATTTAGTGATTCATCTCTTACATACAACACCCACCTCATCACAACAATCCAGCATCAATTGTTAAAAACTGAATTACCTTTTTCCCTTTGTAAAAAAGCAGATGTCCATACATGTGTGTGTCTCTTTTGGAATATCTATTTTGTTCCATTGATCTATTTGCCTATCTCTGTCTGAGCTAGCCCTACAACTTTGTTCTTTTTCAAAACTGTTTTGCTTATTCTAGGCTCTTTGCATTTCTACATGAGTTTTAGAATCAGCTTTCAATTTAACACAAAAATCTGGCTAGGATTTTGTTTGGGATATGTTGAATCATATCAATTTGGGGAGAATTGACATCTTAACACTATTGTGTTTTCTGACCTATGGACAGGTATGCCTCTCTATTTACAGATCTCTTCTTTAATTTCTACAATATTTTAAGTTGTTATTTCACAAGTCTTATACTTTTTTGTCATATTTATTTTCTAAATATTTCATATTTTTATGTGTTTTAAGGGCATTTTTTTGTAAATTTGAATTTCTGATGATTCATTAGTGGTTTTTAGAAATACAGTTGATTTTTATGTATTGTATGTTGATCTTGGGTATTACAACCTTGCTAATAAACTCATTTCTAGTTTTTTTGTTGTTGTAGATTCCATTGGATTATCTATATAGATTATCATGTCTTATAAGATTATTTGCAAAGGCAGTTTCAGTTCTTCCTTTCCAATCTGAATGCCTTTTATTATTTTAAACTCCCCATCCCCCTCAACACACACACACACACACCCCTGCTCTTGTTAAAATCTCTAGAGTAATGTTGTATAAAAGTGGTGACAAGCATCTTTACGTTTTTCCTGATCTTATGAAGAAAATGTTCATTCTTTCACCATTCAGTATACTGTGAAGTGGAGGTTTTTTTGGTAAATGCCAAACGTTCTCTTCTATTCCTAGTGTGCTAAGAATTTTTAGCATGAATGGATAAGGGATTTTGTCATGTGATTTTTCTGCATCCATTGAAATGATCATGTTTTTCTTTTTTCAGTCTGGAATATTGTGAATTATATTAATTACTGTTTAAATGTTAAGCCAACATTGCATTTCTGGAATAAATGAATAAACCCCACTTGATCATTATATATCGTTAGATTCTGTTGGCCAAAATTTTGTTTTGAATTTTTGCATTTGTTTACCTGAGGCATATTGGCCTCAATTATCTTTTTCTTGCAGCATAATAATAGTAGGTTAATGATAGCCTTATAGAATGAGTTGGGAAATATTCCTCCTCCTCACTTTTCTGGAAAAGTTTTGTTAGGTTTTGAGATTATTTCTTCCTTAAGTATTTAGGAGACTTTTCTAATGAAGCCATCTGGGTCTGGATTTTTACTTGTGGGTAGGTGTTAGCTACAAATTCAATTTCTCTAAAAGTTAAAGGGGTTTAAATGGCTATTATTATTTTTTCACCTCCCCCCTGCTCCAGATGGGGTTGGGTAGTGGGGGGGTTGGGCAGAGGGAGCGAGAAAATCTTAAGCAGGCTCCATGCTCAGCGTGGAACTTGACATGGGGCTCGATTTTACAATCCTGAGACCATTACCTGAGCCGAAATCAAGAGTTGGACGCTTAACCAACTGAGCCACCCAGGGTCCCCTAAATGGCTATTTCTTCTTGAGTGAATTTTGACAGTTTGAAACTATTTTTTTTTCTGTTTTATCTAAGTTGTAGAATTTATTGCCATAAAGTTTTTCATGATAATCTCTTAATAACTGTAGCATTTGGAGTGATGCTGTATCTCTGATTATTGATAGTGAAAGTTTGTGTCTTCTCTCTTTTCTTCCCCAGTCTATTTTTTCTTGATTATTTCAAAGAATCTGTTTATGATTCTTTGAAATAATCATTTCATTGAATTCAACAATAGAATAATTCAATCTTTCATTGAATTATTGAATTCAATGAAAGATTGAATTATTCTATTGTTTTCTGCTTCATTGATTTCTACTGTATTCTTTCTTTTACTTAATTTAGTTTTAATT